ACATTCTATTCTATTCTATATTCTATTCTATTCTCTATTCTGTTCTATCCTATCCTATCCTACTCTACATTCTATTCTATTCTATTCTATTCTATTCCATTCTATTCTATTCTACTCTTTATTCTACTCCACTCTGCATTCTATTCTATTCTATATTCTATTCTATTCTCTATTCTGTTCTACCCTATCCTATCCTACTCTACATTCTATTCTATTCTATTCTATTCTATTCTATTCTATTCTATTCTATTCTATTCTATTCTATTCTATTCCTTCTTTTCATCCAACTAAACATACCCAACTCCAGCGACCATTTTCTATACGTTTTAGCCTCCAGTCCCCTAATCCTCTTTGTTGCTCTTCTCTGCACTCTTTCCAGAGTCTCAATGTCTTTTTTTACATTGCGGCGAATGAAGTAGGATGCAGTGTGATCCTATATATGATATTCAGGAAAGTCCTCTCTTCTTTGGGGGCTTTCATTGAAATAGCTAACTCGGCATTGCTGTTTTTGGAGCTTATGGTGCAACAAATTTATTTACAGTTTTTACTGATAGCACAGTCAAATTCTTTGCAGCTTGATTTAAGCAGAAAAGAGAAATGATTGTGCGGGTTTTAGACAAGCACTTTGGATAGATTTTTCTCAAATTAATCCACTACGGGGAAAAAATAAAAAATAAAGTAAGCCTTCTCAAAAAATGCAGAATTCCACTTCTTTGGATAGGCATGTAATCAGCGAATCTTTGACTTACAACAGTTCATTTAGTGACCGTTTGAAGTTATGGTAACAATGAAAAAGTGACATGACTGGGTTTTTTTTCGCACTTACAACCTTGGTAGCTTCCCCATGATGACGTGATCGAATTTGGTGACTGGCTCATCCTTATGGCCGTCGGTGCCTCCTAAGGTTACATAATCCCCTTTGCTTCTGACAAGTGAACTCAATGGGAAAGCTAGATTCACAACCAGATTACTAATGTATCAACTGTGGTGTGATTCACTTAATATTCACTTAATTCACTTAATGCCGGCTAACCACAACATTACCTATTATCTCCTCTCACTTATGAGTATTACTTTGTTGCTTGTATCTTTACAATTTATATTGTTTTCTTTAGTTTCCTAGTATGACTTTGACTGCTTATTTAGTATATCCTATAACTAACACTAAGTGTTGTATCTTATGATTCTTGAGGAATGTATTTTTTTATGTGCACTGAGAGCTTATGCACCAAAGACAAATTCCTTGTGTATCCAATCACACTTGGTTTAATAGTTTTAATACATTTTAGCCTCTTGGCCCATAAAGAATTCCATTCCATTCCACTCTATTCATTTCTAATTCTATCCAATTCCTATTCCATTCCATTCCATTCCATTCTATTTTCCCAATTCCTAATTCAATTCTCTGCCTACAAGGTGATGGAGAATTCCATTCCACACCAGGTCCAGTTTGACTCCCAGTTCAACTGGTTTCTCTACCTGCAATTGAAAGATGGGGGTCACCTTGTTCTCTACCTCCATCAACACCTCTCTTGGACTATGTTCCTGACTAATCACTTATACCTTTTAGGTACACTGAGAGCTTATGCGCTGAAGACAAATTCCTTGTGTATCCAATCACACTTGGCCAATAAAGAATTCTATTCTCCTTCAGAAATTTGGAGTTCAATTGTGGTCATAAGTCAAAGACTACCTGTACACACTGTGTGTGTCTGTGTGTGCATGCGTGCACACGCACACACACACACACACACACACGACAGATTAAAAACACAAGGCAGAAGCCTCCGTGTCCGAAGGAACTGTCAGACCCAATTTGTGTCCTGTGACTGCACCACACTTCCTATAGAGACTCACTGCCTACAGCTGCTAATGTCAAAACTTTCACAATAACTACATCTGGATTAAAATTTAACCAGAAAGGCCTGGGCTGTATTCTACAATGGCTTTTATTCCCTCTACAAAACAGGTCACTCACGGAATGCAAGCCAGAGACGCAAATGGATATTGGAACTGACTTTTTGCCCCTTTCGGCATGCAAGTTCTCGCTCTTCTTTTTTTGGGTGGGGGGTGGGTGGG